CCAGTGTTGTTTGGTCGCCGGGTTCTTCAGATGGGTCTGACTTAATGAAAGGGTGCAGACAAAGGCCACGAAATACCTGTTTTACAAGAAGTACCATCATTGCCCCTATGAGGCCAGACTTGCTCTAGGAGGCCTGGGTTATCTGGCCGATAGAAGATTTTTGCCTTCCGTCATGTTTCTGTGGAAGATCCTAAATAATTTCATTCTCTCCCCAGAGATATTGTCTTATATTGGCTTTAGGGTTCCCCAGCGTCAACTACCGACCTATGAATTATTTGGTACTTCACGGCACAGGACCAAATACCGGAGACTCTTCAATCTCCAGAGCTGTGCTTAACATAAATAAAATCGCTATCAGTGCGGACTTCTCCTCCTCCCTACGGTCTTTAAAAACAATATAGAACGAGCTTTGAAATGTAAGTGAGGATTTATTTATTACTGTTATTTATTCACCTATTTATAATGTTGGTTTGTTTCTTCATTATTTTTCGTGGTCCGCTTGACCAATTAGTATCATTCAATTAATTAAGGTTTTAAGTTCAGATAAAAAAGTCAGTGTCACGAGGGAGATGGTACTACTACTACCTACTTTGGGTAAAATTTTAGAAAAACTCCTACTGAAAAGATCTTCCGATTCTAAATTCTCAAAACACAATCCCAGAGCATCAATTTGGTTTTCGCAACCGCCACTCAACTGTCCAGCAGTGTCACCGCGTGGTAGACATTATTTCATCCTCCCTTGAGATGGGACAGTACTGTTCTGGATCCTTTCTTAAGGTAAGTCAAGCTTGTCACCCTCACATTTTGAGGATGACACTGTTTGTGTAATGGGGCGCGTTGGAATGCTGGGTGGGGGAAGGTCGAAGGAGGGGAGATGTTGGACTGGAGCTGGAGAAGAGAGGTCAGGTGTGTTCCAGACTCGTCAACGATTGCTTAAGCGTAAAATACCATAATTGGGTTACCACAGGGTGAGTTGGGCGATTACACTGTAACGTGGTTGTAGGCTGGAATTAGGGAACGTCTTGGTTTCGTTTGTAGTAACTTTGGTTTAAATTGTATATATAAATTTATGTCTTGTAAATACATTATGTTTTAGTTGGTTTATTTTAGCGAGTGTGTTTTATTTGTTTCATTTTAATTTCCCAGTACCCATCATTATCCCCGGTTAAGAAGTGTTGGATGTTTGTTTGTCGTGCCGTCGAATGCCCGACGTCACAAGCTTTTGATCGAGTTTGGCACCCCGGCCTGCTGTTCATGCTCAAGGGGATCCTTCCATCCACCTACTATCTCGTACTGCACAGTTACCTCACTGACCGATTCTTCCAAGTCATCGAAGGCCATTCCCTCTCTTCATATTTTCCTATCCAGGCTGGTGTTCCTCAGGGTAGCGTTCTGGCCCCTACACTGTACCAGGTTTTCACAGCTGACATGCCATCTCATCCCGAAACCACCACATTCACATTTGCAGACGATACGGCAATTCTCTCTAGCAACTCCGACCTTGTCATTTCCACTCGAAACCTCCAACAACACCTCATACTACTAGAGTCTTGGTGTAAAAAGAAAAGGATAAAATTTAACACGGACAAATCCACCCACATTACTTTCACTCTTCGTAAAAAGATCTCACCCCCTGTTTTCTTAAACAATACTGCCCTCCCAACTGGGACAAGGTGCGGTACCTCGGATTGTACATCAACAAACGCCTGACGTGGAATCCTCACACAAGATTGAAACGTCAGGAGGTTATGACACGATTTAGAATTCTTGCACGACTTCTTGACAAACGCTCTAATTTACCTTTCAAAAATAAAAAGGCTGTTTTACAACACCATAGTTAAGCCGATTTGGACTTACAGACTGGAAGTGTGGGGTTCAGCCAAACATCCCAATATCCACCGCATTCAAACTGCCCAGTCTATAATACTACGAAAAATACTAGATGCTCCATTTTATGTATCGAACCAAACTACACATACATATTTACATATTCCTTTCGTACAAGATGAAATACGTTTCCGTTACCGTAAATTTCATAAAAACCTCCCAACTAACGTAAACCAACAAATCAGAAACCTCGCATCCCGACGAATCCCCTCAAACCCTCCCCGCCGACTGAAGAGACTATGGCCGCGAGATCTCCTAGGAAGTGATGGTGATGACAGTGAAAGTGATAATGACACACGTATCAATTGAACAAAGAATATTATTATAACATTGGAGTAATACCAATTGTTGTTTTCTCCACTCTTGGTTTTAATTTTGTCTTGTTTTAATTACCTTGCTCACTGTTACTTATTACCTACTTTAAGGAAGGTGTAATGTACTACAAATTATTTTAAAAAAATATACGGCTTGATACGCCGCTACTCTACCACTTGAGCTATCGTGACTTCGAACCCCTCGGCCATTAACTTCCCATCTCAACTGGCACTAACTCCCGCTTGTGACACTGACTTTTTTATCTCAACTTAAAACCTTAATTAATTGAATGATATTAATTGGTCAAGCGGACCACGAAAAATAGTGAATTTAATGAATTAAAATGAAGTATACTTCACTAAAGCTCTCCGTGGCCATTTCACTTGTCGCCGAGAATCAAATAGATTACACGACATTTGAAAAATGGCAAGAAGGAGGGAAAATTCAAAAGATGGGGTTGAAATTGAAAGTTAGTGACCAAGGGGTTCGAAATCACGATAGCAGAAGTGGTAGAATAGCAGCGTATCAAGCCGAAGATCGTGGGTTCGAATCCCGCTCGTGACACTGGCTTTTTTATATCAACTAAAAACCTTAATTAATTGAATTATATTTTATAATTTGGATTAAATCAATTCATTATGATTGAAGTCATAATTTTTAATTCTGTAAATAGATTTTTATATTTGTTAAACTGTAAATCGTAAGAAATAGATTGTTGATGAAGGGGCTAGATTCCGCGAAAGCTTGATGTACGTTTTTATGTCTTTTGAATTTGCCTTATCACTGATTTTTTATATATAATTCTAATATTAAGAGTGATATTAATTAAGATAATTTCCTTTCCTTTGTTACATTACCTAACATAAACTAACTTAAATTTGACGGCCCCAAGAGTTCTCGATATACTGCTAAGACCCCCCAGAACAATATCAAAATTATTTACAACTTATTAAATTCACTAGTTTCGTGGTCCGCTTGATCAATTAATATATTTCAATTAATTAAGGTTTTTAGTTGAGATAAAAAAGTCAGTGTCACGAGCGGGATTCGAACCCACGATCTTCGACTAGATCCGCCGCTGCTCTACCACTTGAGCTATCGTGACCTCGATCCACTCGGACACTAACTTCCCATCTCAACCCCACCTTTTGAATGGCAAATGGAGGCAAATCAAAGCAAAAGGAGGGGAAATTCACGATGTCACGATAGCTCAAGTGGTAGAGCAGCGGCGTATCTAGCCGAAGATCGTGGGTTCGAATCCCGCTCATGACACTGGCTTTTTTATTTCAACTAAAAACCTCAATTAATTGACAGATTATTTACAAACTAAACTTACTGCTGTCATCCAGGCAAGGCGATTTTCATGATGCCCTCCGTTCATTCACGCCAATAAATACGAATCTTAAATACGAAAAAAAGACAAAATTTCATAAACGGTGAATATTTCAAATCGCCGAAACGCGTTTGAACGGAAACGACCTGGAACGATCAGACCGCAGGCAGAGATGTTCAATAACCCACAGGAGCACGCAACAATGTTTGTCAGTTTAGTCAAGTTAGCAAGACGCGTTTCTACTCAAAACCACTCAAATAATTTTAGTTTGTAACTCGGAACAGTGAAATTGAAATAGCACAACTTCGAAACAGGGACTGATTTTGTAGTCAGCGTACAATAGCAAAGTTAAAAAACAACAAAGAAAAATACTATATATTTTTTTTAAATCTAAGCAGGTAATATTTCATAGTAAATTGTCTAGAAATTTTATCGGCCTTGAAAACATTACCTTCTTATTCGCAAAACAGGGAATAAGAAACAAAATGAGAAAACTTACAGCGTATTTTTAATAACTCGGAAAATTCGCTGTTTACTTTACTGTGTAATAAACCACCTTCCTTAAGGGTATTACGACTTTTTCCCTTGAGATCCTAAAACGGTATTAGTCTTGATCCGGACATTTCATTTTCGTTTGCTTACTCTTAATATCCGTTGTATTACAAACATGACAAACACGAATTTACTTTAGAACGGAAAATCCTATTTTTCATGTATGTAATAATTAATGAAAAAATAACATTATAGTTCAGCATTTGGTAAATAAGCAATGAAACCATAAATTAAATTATAATTGAATAAATAAATAACTTCATATGTCTTTTTTTAGTTTAAACAAATAAAACATACCTTTAAAACCGAAAAAAAATAAAATTTTATATTTTAAATTCATTAATTTCGTGGTCCGCTTGACCAATTAAATCATTACAATTAATTAAGGTTTTTAGTTGAGATGAATTGAAAAATGGCAAAAAGGAGGGAAAACTCATAAGGTGGGGTTGAGATACGCCGCTGCTCGAACCACTTGAGCTATCGTGTCTTCGATCCACTTGGACACTAACTTTTCATCTCAACCCCACCTTTTGAATTTTCCCTCCTTTTTGCCATTTTTCAAATGTCGTGTAATCTATTTGATTATCGGCGACAAGTGAAATGGCCACGGAGAGCTTTAGTGAAGTATAGTTCATTTTAACTTATTAAATTCACTAGTTTCCGTGGTCCGCTTGACCAATTAATATCTTTCAATTAATTAAGGTTTTTAGTTGAGATAAAAAGTCGAAGTCACGATAGCTCAAGTGGTAGAGTAGCGGCGTATCTAGCCCGAAGATCGTGGGTTCGAATCCCGCTCGTGCCATTAACTTTTTTTCATCCCAACTAAAACCTTAATTAATTGTAATATTTTATATTGTTACGCGCTACTTCTTTATTTTTCGACCATAAATTTGTTTTGTTTCTGTCCTTTTAGATTTTTAGCCTGGTTAGAGTTGGAGCGCAATTCACAGCGACCGATGGCACTGCGAGAGAAGTTTCAACCCTGTCGAGGTACGGCAACGCGAGAATAATGAAAAGAAATCTGACTATATATTTCATGGGTGGTATCAAATTTGAAAAATTGCACGTAAGTGAAAAGCTTTTCTAATACATTTAAAATCTATCTTTACTCCTCATCAGGGATGAAAAATGCACTTCACGCGCAAATAATCTTAGCTCCTCTACGTCATCCCAAATCTTTTCGTTATTTTGAAGTTAAGTTCCACACGCATAAATCCTCAAGCAGAAAATCCCCCATGACCAAAATCTACTTTGTTACGTCTACGTTGTTAGACCCCTAGACATGGCCAAAATACTTCTACTTTACTTTTAACACCTTCAAGCTGCCTTGTTTACATTTCCTTCATGAGTTATATGCCCATGTACATGACTAAAATGCTTTTCGGGTTCGCAACAGCAGAGGTCATATCAACTCTCGGGGTGTCGGCGTTTTTAGAAGTTTTTAGGCATCCCTAGACATGACATACAGCTTTTATACATGACAGCTTTAGTGAAGTATACTTCATTTAAATTCATTTCAAGCTCTCCGTGGCCATTTCATTTGTCGCCGAGAATCCAATCCGATTAAAGGACATTTGAAAAATGGCAAAAAGGAGGGAAAATTCAAAAGGTGGGGTTGAGTTGGGAAGTTAGTGTCCGAGTGGATGGAGGTCACTATAGCTCAAGTGGTAGAGCAGCGGCGTATCTAGCCGAAGATCGTGTGTTCGAATCCCGCTCGTGTCATTGACTTTTTTATCTCAACTAAAAACCTTAATTAATTGTAATTTATGCAAGACGTTGATGGGACCACTTTGGACACAAGGCATAGAACTGGGATTTCACTAAGGTGTCCAATATCCAAAAGTTCTTCGATAAATTGTCAAAGAATCCAACTACGCCATTAACCTTTCTATCCAGAACGACCTCAACATCCCTTGGGCCTACAAACAATCCCGATTCCAAAATTCCAGGCTAAGCTTTCGATCAAATTCTAACCCTACTGGCCAAGCCTTATTATTTTCCCATCTGGCCCGCCACCCTCCTTAATCCCTCATTATGAGTTGTTTCTCAAACAGTGAGTGGCAGAAAAAAAAAACGATACACGAAGATAGTAGTAATAAAGAAGAAGGCCAAAAGCCCTTTCGACCTCATCTGGATTCATCCCTTCTTTGTTTAAATTGTAATGGGTTGACATTATTATTTAATAATATTGTAGTACTATATATATTTTGACGTGACATAAATAAGTTATGTATTATTATTTTAACTTCTCGAGTGAAAGCTTAGCGTCTGTGAAATTTATTCCGATGTAAAACCTTTAACTTAAACGGTGGACTTGGACGTATCCATATTGATAAGCGTAGCTGGTCGTTTCTAATTGAAGCCTTCAGAACTTTGAGAGTATAACTTGCTTGCATAACGACGCATAAATCCACTAAAACTCGTGTTCTGAATTTATACGCGGGGGGGGGTGGCTGACTTGTTACACCGGACCCATAGAGAATGAAGATAAAATAAAAAATATACGGAGGATCTTTAATTAACTTTATATTAAAAATTAAACGAATGTAAAACAGCACAAAGGGGAAAGTCAAATTTTTTTGGTAGATTTTTCTTATATTTTTCTCATTTATTTCCAAGTTTATCTTTCATTTTAAACCCCTTATTAAATCTGCAGCATAATTGACATAGTACCAAAATTTACAGTATTTTTCTACTTTAGAAAAAGCTAGAATGCAGTCCTCTACCATTGTTTAGAAATATCTTCTTCATAGGTCTAAGTAATAATTTATCTCTAAATTTAAAACCAATTTAAAATTTTAAATACGACTTTTGTTTCAAATATCGACTTCAACATTTGTCAAAATGTATTAAATTCACTAATTTCGTGGTCCGCTTGACCAATTAATTGTAATTTGTCAAAATTTGCTATAAGTCCATTTAATTCACTAGTTTTAGTGATCCGCTTGACCAATTAATATCTTTCAATTAATTTAGGTTTTTATTTGAGATAAAAAAAGTCAGTGACACAAGCGGGATTAGAACATTTGAAAAATGACAAAAAGGTGGGGTTGAGATGGGAAGTTAGTGTCCGAGTGGATCGAGGTCACGATAGCTCAATTGGTAGAGCAGCGGTGTATCTAGCCGAAGGTCGTAGGTTCGAATCCCGCTCGTGACACTGACTTTTTTGTCTCAATTAAAAACCTTAATTAATTGAAAGATATTGATTGATCAAGCGGACCACGAAATTAGTGAATTTAATAAGTTTAAATGAAGTATACTTTCAGTAAAGTTCTCCGTGGCCATTTCATTTGTCGCCGAGAATGAAATAGATTGCACGACATTTGAAAAATGTGCAAAAAGGAGGTAAAATTCAAAAGGTGGGGTTGAGATGGAAAGTTAGTGTGCGAGTGGATCGAGGTCACGATGGCTCAAGTGGTAGAGCAGCGGCGTATTTAGCCGAAGGTCGTGGGTTCCCGCTCATCACACTGACTTTTTTATCTCAACTAAAAACCTTAATTAATTTGCAAAAAGATTTTAGACTTCAAAATTCTCTCATACTAGTCTTCAAAGGTCATACTTACCAGGTTGTGCATAGGTCACACACGGACACCTTCTAACGTCTAATGTCGTAGTAAATGACCTAAGCGCAGCCTAGGCAAAAGGAACAGATCAGTTTTCTATTATCTCAGGGGCATAAATATTTTTAATTTTATATTGAACTTGGTTATATACTACTTACTCAAGATTAAGGATAAGCTTTTTTTTTTTTTTTTTTTTTTTTTTTTTTTTTTTTTTTTTTTTTTTTTTTTTAAACGAGGGTTCGCCCATTTGTAAGTATGTCGGGTTCGAATGCAGGGCCGCTGGATTCGAACCCGGGACCTTTACCTTACAGTGATGAGCGCCGTGTCAACGACTAAACCTTGCGGCCACCGACGCCCCAGTTATATGTTGTTATATGTTGTTATTGGAACGAATGTTTATTTGAGTGAATAGGATGGCTTATCCCCCAAATACCCGAAAAATATCGATTACTCTGTGGTAGTGTGAACGATTTGTGGTGTGTATGTAATTTATTTACATGAATGAAGGGGATTATACCCAATTATCCTGGAGAAAATCGAGTACACAGGGTAGTGTTAACATGGTCTGCTGTGTGAATGTAATTTATTAGCGCGAATAGAGGTGTATCCCTTTCCTAGAGGAATATCGAATACTCTTCGGTAGCGTGAATGCTTTCCAAACTATCATTTATCTTGTTTCTGTGTATTAAGAATACAGTATGTTTGTTATTTGGTTATTTCATCCACACTTGTCCCATTATCATTTTCATTATCATCATCATCGCTTCCTAGGATATCCCGCGATCATCGTATTCAGTCGGCGAGGACGGCTCCAGGGAATTCGTCGGAATGCGTGGTTTATGATGTGTTGATTTGATGGTTGGGAGGGTTTGTGAAAATTTGCGGTAATGGGAACGGATTTCATCTTGAACGAAAGGAATATTTAATCCAGTATGTTATACATAAAATGTAACTCTGGTATTTTTCGTAGGATTAAGGATTGGGCAGATTGAATGCGGCGGATATTGGAATGTTTGGCTCAACCCCACACTTCCAGTCCGTAAGTCCATAAATTAAAAATATTTTTTTAAAATCTATCCCTTGTAGAAATACACTTAACTGGCTCACATTCAATCATCAGAAATTTTCCCATTGACTGATATAAATATGTAACCGGCTGGAAAATCGCAAAGTGTTCCGCAGTCGCGAAGCTTTACTGTTCCATTATTCACATCCTACCCTAGAATCAATTCCGCGTTTTTTGAAATCCTTCTTGTGAGCGGAGATAACAATATTAAAATATCGTACGTTCAATTTTCCCGGCTTTTCCAAATAATTTTATGGCAGTTGAATTGTAAGCTTATCTTAATTGTACCAAATTTGAAAGGCATGATCTTCCTTAATTTACAATCTGCTTATGAAGCATCGTACACCTTCCCTCTATAAAACTTAGATAACAAATCGCTAGTTTCGTGGTCTGCTTGACGAATTAATAAATTTCAATTAATTAAGATTTTTAGTAGGAATAAAAAAGTCAGTGTCATGAGCGGGATTCGAACCCATGATCTTCGGCTAGATACGCCGCTGCTCTACCACTTGAGATATCGTGACCTCGATCCACTCGGACACTAACTTCCAATCTCAACCCCACCTTTTGAATTTTCCATCCTTTTTGCCATTTTTCAAATGTCGTGTAAACTATTTGATTCTCGGCGATAAATGAAATGGCCACGGAGAACTTAGTGAAGGTATAATTCATTTAAACTTATTAAATTCACTAGTCTCATGGTCCGCTTGACCAATTAATATCTTCCAATTAATTAAGGGTTTTAGTTGAGATAAAAAGTCAGTGTCACGAGCGGGATTCGAAAAATGGCAAAAAGGAGGGAAAATTCAAAAGGTGTGGTTGAGATGGGAAGTTAGTGTCCGAGTGGTTCGAGGTCACGATAGCTCAGGTGGTAGAGCAGCGCCTTTTTGGCTTCGAATCCCGCTCGTGACGCTGACTTTTTATCTCAACTAAAAACCTTAATTAATTAAATAACAATGATTATTCGGAGATCGTGAGATGCGGTCTGGTGTGATGTAGGTTTCAGAAAAACATTTTCTTTATCGTGCCAACGTTTCAACCTTTATTGAGATCATCTTTAGGGTCTGGGATTTACAAACATTGTTTAAATTTAACAAATACATGTAGGATGTGGAACAAAATGAATGATGTTGAACCAAATTTATACAATGCAAAAAAAATTTTATATTCAATCAAAGTATTTGTCGAAACGTTGGTACGATAAAGAATTTTTTTACCGCATTTCACGATCTGCGAGTAATCATTGATAACGGTCACTAAACACCACACACTTAAATAACAATTCACAACACTCATACACCAATATGGCACCACAAGAATGCACAAGTAATTTTATGACAGTTGAGTTGTAATCTTATCTTTTTTAATGACCTATTAAACTCGCATATTAGCCAGGTGCGTATTGTTTTATCGCATATACGTAGTTGGTGGCAGACA